GCCAAGTCCACGTGGCCTCACCGGTTGCCCGGTTGCCACCCTCCTCTTCAGCTTCCCACACAGACAACAAACCCACCTTTGTCCACCTTTCTTTCTTCCCCTCGCCTCGGTAACACATACGTCGGAGAGGCGACTGTCAACAACTGGATCAACAGCCACCATATCGCTCGTCGGACAACGTGACTACGTCGCTTTCCGTCGCCGGGGCGACAGGCGTTCAGACTGCGAATCAACTTCCCGTTTGGATGCCAAAGCAGATGAGCCATCATTTGGCTCATTTTCCAGGAGACTGGAGCTCCTGACCACGTGGGAAAGCGCTGATGGAGGTCAAAGCTGGTGCCGGAAGGACGCATGAACCGACACTACCGGCAGGACTCGAGCTCGCCGCATTCGCGACTAGCGAAAACGCCTCCACTCGGCCAGGCGTCTCTCAACTTGCATTTTCATAGTAGAAAGCAAACATGCCGTTGCCATCGACGGTACCAGCATATAACGTTTGGTAAATTCCGAAACCATCAAATCCTTAAATCGCCTCAATCGACCTGAAGGGGCTCGAGCTTTTATCGGAAATCCACTGACTTTGTCTCAGCCTAATCAATTAGCGCAGAGGAATATCGTGGATTTTAATGTCAAATACGACTGCAACTGTGAAAGTGTGACTCGGAGGGACCTTGCTTGCCTCGCAAGTGCTGTCTGTCCCGTCATTAAATGCTATCTGTGGCTGTATGATGGAATGGTGGGCTCGAGGCTGTTGATAAGGCTCTGACAAGTTTGAGGCGCGGCGAAATATAATCTAATGGCATCCTGGGGTAAGTCATTTCATTGGGGGAAACTCAAGATCTACTCATACTTCAGGAAGATGAACTTATTTGTCATGGATTAAAAGATGATCCAAGGCATTCTTCATTCAGCAGGACGGTCAAGGCTTGCTGCCGAGGTCTTTCATTCATGTATACAACGACATTCCAGCTTCTTCCGACGAGACATATACACGATTCCCTTCAATTGATGCTCCCGCACCAATCGATTTACGAGATGAAATAGTGCTGTTTGACTTTTCATTTTAAACGAGAAGTTGGTTGGAAGGAATTCGTGAATTAGTCTCACCAGAACCAAAAGGAAGATTGGCTGATGAAATAAATGAGAATGTTGTATCATATATATCTCAGCTTACATCTGTCTGTACCACCGTGGCAGGCATCGCCAGAACAAGAAACAGTACTTTGAGAAAAAAAAACATTAATAAAGTAGGATTTCTTGTTTTGACGATATATGTCACGTTGGTATGGGCTAAGGCTCAGCACGGATGCATCGGCGTCGCAGGACTGTGAGCCGAGGACTTGTTCACACAATCCAACAGTATTCTTCACTCTAAGGCAAGCCTCCCTCGGTTTCCAGTAGAGGCAATTCACGAATTCTTTGAAACAGACTTTTACTTCGACATGAAAAGTCGAATCGCACCAACCTACCAAGCGGGTTTTCGAGGGTGAACTTTCTGTCACATCTTCCTCGAATCTGTCTACAAAAGGTTGTCTCCGAAGCCATAGCAACGGAGGTATGCCAAACCAAGGCGGACTTGAGGACTCGAATCAAGTCCGCCAGGATGGCAAAACGAAGAGTAATGGCAATTTTGGTATATATAGGCTTCTTTATGCATGTATTTATGAGTTGAGATTGTCAAACATGGGGATACGGTGAAATTTATTGAAGGACTGGAGCGTTTCCTGCTAAAAAGGCAGCAGAAACGGGATCGGTGCCAATGCGAGAGTAGACGTGGGAGGGCGACGAGAAGGCCTTAGAGATGAGCTTATGTCTCGGTGAAAAGCACTCGTGTATGTGTGTACATGCCTACTTGGTTGAGGATGTGTGGGTGTGTTTGTGTTTGTGTTCTAGTGTGAGTGTAAATGGGGGCAAAACAACAGGATGATCTACTAAAAAGAGGGGTGGCTTAGTTTTTCCACCTCATGAATTTCAAATCTAAGTGATAAATAGACAGGCAGACACGTCCACAAATACACACAAACACATAAATACATAGGCAGACAGATGCATGTAAGTACAAGAACAGGGCATGTACACACGCATGGAAATAATAAAAGCAATAAATGCGAATTTCTAAGTGGAGAAAACAAAAAGTCAAATGTTACAATGCCGTGAAAAAAGCAGCACAGCCTATCACTAGTTCAGGTGGAAGAGGAGGCAAAAGCTCTTTTTGTTTTATTTCAGAGATGATAAGATCTACAAACTAGTGCCAGGGTAGCCAGGATTGGGCAGCTGTTGGTGCAACTGTGAGAACCACCGATGGACGGTTGTAGCCATGTCCTTTTCGAGGGCTTGGGTGTGGCAGCATTCATCTACCGCTGTCGTCAGGCGAAAAAAGACTTGGACACTCACTGCCCTCTTCCGCATCCTCGTCGTCATCGTCGTCGTCGTCGTCATCATCGTCGTCACCCTCCTCCGTCTTCTTCTCATCCTTCTCCTCCTCCTCCTCCTCATTTTGTGCCGTTTTGCTCTCTCTTTTTTTGCTCTCCCTTTTTGTTGTCTTCTTCTCTTCTCTTATCTTCTCGTCCAAGTCCACGCCTGCCTCTGCTTCTGCTTCTGCGTCGCCCGCCCGTCCTCGCCTCCGAGGCGCCACCATCCGAGACTTGTCATCCAGACGGGCTTGGCGCCGATTCTGCCTCCATCTGGCCGATGGTCGGCTTGCCGAGCTGGTTGCTACCGCCGTCACCTGGCCTCGGAGACAAGAGTCCGGCTGCCTTCGAATGTTGTTCGTCTTCCTTCCGACGCCGGGCAATCCTTCTTTTACCTTCTTCTCCTGCGCCTCATCATCATCATCATCATCATCATCATCAGCCTTCTCCTCCTCCTCCTCCTGCACCACCACCTCCTCCTCTCTCTGCTCCTTCCACTCCTCCTTCTGCGCCTGCTCCTCTTTCGTCTCCCGAAGCAGAGTGGCTGAAGTCGACGTTTCGTGGGAGCCTCGGTCTGAGGCGACCGGGCCTGGTCTGCGACGGCGTTGGCGTCGACCGACTCCCTCTGCCTGATCCGGTTCTGGCAGACAAAAGTAAAGCATACCAGGCAGGAGTTAGCGACACCAAAAAGAACCGGCATGTCACTATGGAATTAGATTGCATAACAAGATACACTGTTTTCCTATCTTCTTACAAAAAGTAATGGTCACTATTCTCGCAATTAAGTTGAAGTATATGCCCTCCCACTACAACGGTTAGTCTCGCTACAGTAAGACATGACTTCTGATTTTGATACACAACGATACTCATGACACGGGTTCTAATCCCACTGGGTGTTGAATGACATTTCACACGTTTGCAGAGTGATCGTCGATGACGCAAACTTGTATTTGCTATTACAATAGACAGCATTACTTATATTCATATTGAGTAGAATGTAGGTTTTATTTGAAATTCACGTCTGCTCTCTGTCCCAGGGGCACTCGTGGCAGTTTGGGGTAGCTGTAACGTGGCGACATTACGCAATGCACTGGCCGGATTCTAGTCTCTCTGGGGATGCTGATGAGATCAGTTCATATAAAGTTAGCGATAAATTAAATGGAAATGTGAAACATATCCTACGCGAACTAGGCCGTATACAGTCTATATTCCAGATTTACTGGTACTTTCAAAAACCGACTCGGTGGGAATTTAAGTCTTTTAATTAAGTATGGTAAACAGGCGCATCTCTCCTAACCAATTGATCTTTTGAAATTACAATTTGAGCCATTATTTGTAAGTACATTTCGGTTAACTTATCCGTAGTATCGAGCAATCAAATCTCTCATTGGTGGTCTCGCACCAATCAGGGGCAGATCTTCACACCATGCATGGGTTTAAACAGGAGAAACTTATAACTCAGTCCTACCTCTCAAGGACCTCGTATTTCTTGAGGAGACCAGATAATGCGGGCCCACCTGGGCTAGCCAAGACAAACGAGTCTACACAAAAAATAATGAAATAAATGAGAAGGCAGTATCATATATCAATGCCACAATTGATTGTTGGCTTTTTGTTGTTCCTGGCCTTTTCGTCGTTGTTGGGTGGAAATGTCACAACGATACTCACAACATGGGTTCTAATCCCACTGGGTGTGCTGAGGAGACCAGTTTATGTGAGGTCGAAATCGCAGCCAAGTCCGAACAACAGGAATTGTTTCCATTACCAACCCATTGGCTTGGTATATTCCTAGATGCTTCGCTGGTATCGTGGTCGGCATCGTCAGTGGGAAGTGTTATCCTTAGCACAGAGTTACAACCTATCAAAGTGACATTTCATTGACAATGCAGACTACGAATCTAGCGAACCTCTAGGAATATACTGAGTCAACAGACTGATGCGAAAATAATCTCTGTTGCTCGGATCAAATTGCGTAAACGAGGTAAAGCCAACATTATAAAGTTAAATTGGAGTGTGGCCAAACCAAATCCTTTATCAGAACCTAGTCAGTCCATGCCGCTTTTTGAGTGATTTAAGGACAGATAGCTGAGTTTTTCCACAATCAGACAAGTAGGCTTCAAGATGTCATCAAAGTTCACCTTGTACCGCCTCCTAACAATGCTATCTCATCCAAACTTGGCTGATCCCACCGGGACCCGAAAGAAATGACTTTGGTACAGGTGTGATTGATGAGTTGGGCGGAACAGATCTCTGCCATGTTGTTCTGTGGTTCCAAATAATTTGAGCTGGACTTTCGTCTAAATTTCGAATTGAATAGCTTTCGAGGCTATCAGTAATGCTTGAATACGAAATTAGTCGGTCCACGTCGAATTGAGCTGATCGTGGGACAGTTTGCTAACTGCTCCTACCCATCCAGATGAATAAGACTCAGGAATCTATAGAATTTCAATCTTAGCCTTGGCCCCCAAAAGGGTTCCTATCCCGACTCAACTTAGCTGCAGTTTCGATCCTGCACGCCCAGGGGGATTCGAACTCGGATCATGAGTATCGTTGCGAATTTACCGCATCATGACGAAGAAAATGCCAGAAAGGGGCTAGAAATTATCGGTGGCATTCATATATGCTTCTATTTATGGCATTCTCATATATTGCTATTATTATTATTTTCTTTAGCGGGGACTCGTTAGTATTGGTTAGCCCAGGTGGGCTTGCAAGGACCTAAGAGAATTAATGATATGCTTTAATAGGAGGTGTATTTACCATATTTCGTTTATGTGATAAGGGTAAGTGGAAACATAAGGTCTACTCATATAAATTTGGGAAAAAATAACTAGCAGTTCCCTTATTATTTTAAACGAAATAGGGTGAATACACCTCATATATATCATCTACTGGTAGTCACGAAAGCCTACTTATAGACGAAAAATGTTTTTATGTCTGCAAGATTTTGGTTTCAGTAATCACAATTCTTAAGACGTGGACTGATATTATTTTATACAAATCATGTAAACGCCAAGGTTTATCTACGTTTATTTTGATCATTATCATTTCAGAATGAGAACCGAATATTTAAGATAGCCAATCGGAGCATGGTCGAAGAAATAGGCCCAAGTTTCTGATTAATTAAGTCACTTAGATGAATTAGAACTTATTTGCTTCAGGAAGCTTAAAGTGTTTTAAAAGCTGATAGCTGAGTTATGCCACAATCAGGTAAGTAGGCATCAGGACGCCATTGAATTTGCCTCCCAAATTGTTGCCTCATCTAGACTGGACTGCAGTTTCCACCTCGTCTCATCGTTCCATCAGCAGCCCTAACAAAATTAGGTACTGGGTCGGGGTTGCCGTGGCGACATTCCCACTCAAACACAGGTACATATAAGTCACGGGGCGATTGTAAGAATTAGAGTAAACCAAGCCTATCCCAACTCACAGTTTATGGTGGGAAAACTCAACTATTAATCCTTAAATCACCTGAAGCTGTTGTCAAAAAATTACTGATCGTTTCAAAAATTACTCACATCGAAATAAATTCATACAGCAAAGTGTTGCTGAGTCCGTGTCTACAGGTCCAGCCTTGCTCAGCAGAAGCAAAGGGACTTCACCTCAGGACCGACGTCCCATCAACTAGCTTTGTAGCTCTCCTGATTTCAATACAACTTCAATCTTTCTCATCTGCCCCTAGACAGTTGCGATGATCTAACTGTATGCAGTTTTGACATCTACTCGTTCAATTAGATAATGTATTTTGCCAAAGGTAGGATTTTTCAAAGATGTGACCAATTATATATCAGTAGTGTAGCTAGTTTAATGTCAAACACATTTAAAGTTCTCATAAAAGATATTAGTCGTGGGGCCATCTGGGCGAGGGGTTAAAGATGAAGTGAAATTGAGCCTAAGCGTTGCTGTATGTCCCGGTAAAAGTTCACTTTCCCTTGCTGGCGGTCAAAAATCAGTTTTTGTCCACTACTTTCTTCAACAAAACTAATAAGTTGAGATTTAGGGAGGAGCTAACTTACACTTTCATTCCCCTCTTTCACAAGACAAGCCACTCTGCCTTAAAATGCAAATCGTCCAGAACAGTGATGAAAAATTAATCCAGCTTACTCATCGGCCCCTAGGCAGTTGCCATGAGCTAACTGTATGCAGTTTTGATATTTACCTTAGACTCGTTCAGAAGTAGGATTTTTCACAGACGTGACCAATTAAAAATATATCAGTAATGTAGCTTGTGTCAGATATATCATAGGCTTGTCAGCCTCTCAGGCTGGAAATTCATCAAGTGAAACTGCTTTCGAGGCATCTCTTGTATTTTGGTCACTTGCACTTTGTGCAAAATAGTGCGCGATGAAGAGATTCGTGTAGATTTGTCTCCCCAAACGGTGAAGGCGGGTGACAGCTGTTCTGAAGTCGTTTGATGTCATTATGAGTTTGAGGCTGATGCAGTCTACAAGAACTCCTTTTTCGGGTTCGGTAAAAAAGAATTGGCCTTTCGTTTTTTTTGCTACCGCCGTACAGACACCTTCAAAGCTGAATTACATTCTTGAACTAACTCAAGTCAGCAAGGCAAACTGGCTCTAGCCCACATTCCACATATACCCACAACAACTAAAAATGTATTGAAAACATACGAGAACCAGAGCTAGGTCACTTAAAGTGACGAAGACCTCTCCCAGCTCACATTTTATCTTGGGATTGTCGCTGAAGCAGACAATTGTTTGCCAGTACCACCGGCAACGTTAGTGGTATTCGAATTGCATATGATTTCGAGACTATCAGTAGACCTTGAATAAGACTTCTACTGAACGTCTCGAAAGCCCACTTAATTCGAATACAGATATAGAATTATTTGGACATTTTCTCCTCATGTTATGGTATCAAAAGTAACAATACATATTTTTCGTTTGTTTAATTGTTGGTGTTGTGGTCGTGGGTTGGGATCAGATATGGCATGAACAGAAGAGCCTGTTAGGCTTCGTTGCGTTAGCTTGTCGTTTTTTAAGAATTCGATCCAACTCTGATTTGTAGAAGATAAGAGAGCTGGCCGTAACCAGATGAAGAAGTGTCATCTATGCTTTATTAGCCTGAATTGTATAGCACCCTCAAAAGAGATCAAATTAAAAGGAATCTGGTGAGATCAAATCTCTTCACGGAACACACTTTCACACCAAATTCGCGTCATCACTAATTGAAGAAGAGACAATGTCCCATAAAAACAGAAACAAACATATGGTTGAAAGCACTAACCATTTGAACACCGGGCTTCGCCATACAGTTTCTCCCGCTCTTTGACAGTCTGGATTTCTTCTTCCCTCACCCCATCAACTGCAGCCATGCGAGTGTCTCTGGAATGACCCGAGGCAACCAGATCGGCTTGATCTGTCAATTGATTGGCCCCGGCCTCAACAGACTCCCCGTTGCACTGTCGGTTGACCGTGGCCTCGGAACTCGTCGCCAACCTGTTTGTCTGAGGCTCTCTTGGCTCCGTTGCCTCGGTCGACTGTGGCAACTTTTCCGTCTCCAAGTGGCCCGAAATGATGGCGTGGGGTGTCGAACTGGAGGGTTTACGGGGTCTGGAGGCGTCAATCACAATGGTGGCCACGTCCGCACGACAAAATGGATTCAATGGTGTGAGTGGATAGCGTCGCTTTCGTCGTTTCTTCTTCTTTCTTCGAGCCATGCTTTCGGCCCTATTGCAGGCTTCTGGAACGACTGAAATCGACTCTTTGATCGTCCCCATCCTGTTGATCTCAGATTCCGCTTCATGTCTCTTCACCTCGGACTGTTTTGATCCTTGGGATGCTTCCATTTTTCCCTCATCCTGCCTCTCAATTGGCCCAGAGGTGCCCCTGCCCTCGGGCCTAACGTCGCCGACGGAGCCTTCTCTGCAGCATGCGGACTCGGACTGGTCCCCATCAGCAGACCATGTGGACGGCTTTATCATCAAGGCTGCCGCGGAGACCTCCGGAGCCGGTCTCGATGGCCGGACGCGACCCAGACCCATACGGCAGGGAAGCTGGGGCAAAGGGATTGCTGAACTCGGGCCCAGGTCATAGGTGAGGCCGCAGTCAAAGGAGGGTGGAAAGGGCTCAAGACCCTCACTACCCTCACTGGCTGAGGAAGGGCAAGAGGAGTCCAGAGAGGAGGAGGAAGAGGAGGAAGATGAGGAGGAGGAGGAGGAGGAAGAAGAGGAAGCAGCAGAACAGCTGGAGAACGAAGAGGTATTGGTGTGATCGGGCGAGCTAGGGCTCGAAAAGTAGGAGGACAAACACGGTTGTTGCGGCGGCTGCTTCAAAGACGACACGGAGTCCTGCTGAATATGTTGGTGAAGACGAAAGGGTCGCTGATGAAGTGCTCTGCCATCTGGATGGGGCATGATTCCTCTAAAAGTGGACTCTATTGACGCATCTGCCGTCTAGGCGAGACGGGGTGTATTAGCAGGTGAAAAGGAGGCACAAAAGTGGCAGCAATAAGGAAATCTTGCATTAAAAACCTTAGTTATCTCAGGTAGCATACAATGACGTAGGAAAGCTAGTCAAACTTTTTTACAATGAAATAAGTTCCGACAGCTACTCACATGATATTTAGTAATATCGTATAATATAGTGAAGAATATAAGGTTGCCTTACCTACATCAATCCCATCAAAAAATGCGGTTTGGGCCGTGTGATCAATGGTTAGCATGATATTAATATCAGATAATATTATAACATGATATGGATAACATAGAATATATATAGTAATACTACTAATAGAGGTGCTGATAAAACCGGGGCAATGTCGAGCCTTCAGTCTAGAGCGGATAAGAAAACATTTTGGCAGATAAGGCTAGGCTTTTACTCGCCTAATTTTAAGGCAATTCAACTATCAGTCCCTACATCATCTCCAGCAACTAAAATGAGTGAAGACCAAATACGAAGTTGCATTAATCTCGTTTTCACAGTTGAGTTGTATTTTGAGGGCGATTTCGAAGACGATTGCTGATAACATCCTTCCTGGCTCAGAGATAATGCCTGAACTATAGTCTAAAATTAGGCTCGAAACTCTACCTATCTACGTAAAATTAGGCTTTTAAAATCATTCTGAGTTAGGACCGGTATTGCATATAGACACTAATACACACACACACACACACACACGAGTATAAGCACCATAACCAATATGAAAGATAATAAGCCTATATATTTTCGTTTTTTACTCATGTAAATATATAAAAAGTTAGATAGAGCAGGACAGTCTTTTTTACCTGATGCTAATTTAAGACTTTTACAAAAATGAATTCCAGTTCTGATTAAGTCCGTCAAATGATGGACGAAATCTTAGCCTGTTTCCATCCAAAACGAGTGAGGATGTCTCGTGGACTGTCTCAAACCGAGCACCATTTTGAGGCTAAACAGTTGACGCTCAACGCGAATCAGCCGTCGTCTTCTGGTGAGATCGACCTTCGAATCTCTTCTTCATGCACTTTCATACTAAACGAGGTTCTCTCCAAAAAATCTCCTACATGAACATTTTGATGTAAATGTGCACGAAAAGTGGGTTGAGAGGCAAAGTTGTCCAAAAATGCGAAAGGAATGCCTTTTCGGGTAATACCCCTATAATCGTCAAGTGAAGATGAGCCAGTGTTGTCTTACGTCTGGGTGTCTGGGCGTCTGGGCGCATAT